TACTTTGCATTTCCTGAAAATTTCAGCTCACTCGCATAAGTCCTTCATGGTGTTGCAATTTTCACAAACATGAGTTTATATGTCAAAGTTTAATGTCTGTAATAAAGAACTTTAATTCATTTTTATTTTAGCAATACAGTATTAAGATACATCATTCTCTGTGGTATTTAGATGAGGACCGTACAAAACTCTGCAACATATTCATGACACACATTTTCTAATTGTATATCTTTTGCTTAAACGACTCCCTTCTATAATTACTATATATAAAATTGGCCATTTTAATTACAAAACTGCTATAAAATTATTCCTATAAATCACGTTATTACGGAAAAAGTTTTTGGTCTAAGAAAATAATTATTTTTGTTTTGGATAAAATGTCTTCTCTTCTTTTTCAGGGTTTCAACACTACATTATTAAAACCAATTGCGTAATGATGCTTAATATTCGCTGTAATAATTTATGTAAGGAACAAATTTTATGTCAACTTTCCATGCTGTTTTAGAAACATAAATATAATTGGAAATAAGAAGTTTAATTGTTTTCCCATTATGATGCTTTTCGATGCATTTTCAAAAATTTGGGATAGATCAGTTTTTTTTAAATATGAATGAAAACTTCTTTTCTTTTATTTCTTAGAAGCATACGTATTTTCACATTATGAGGCTTTTTGATAACTTTTTTTCAAAGTTAAAAAAGATAGGTTTACAAAATTTTATAGAAGCTCTTTTTCGGAAGATGTGTATTTTGGAGGATGTTCTTTTTGAAGCATGTGTATTTTATGTAATGATATTTAATTTAGTAACCAATCTGTGTTATAAAGAATTCTCTTACATTTGACTTTCATATTAGCACAAGTACAGGCTTTATTTATTTTAGAAATAAATGTAAATTATAGAGCCATATTGTATAATTGAACTTCACCACCAAGCAGTAACGCGAGTCCCAGCAAAAGTTAAGCAATACCTCTTCACTTCAAACCCGTTTATTTCTGCGTAGATTTATTAAAGCTGCCACATCATTAAACAAAACCCTCGCCTTCTAACTGCATCGAAGTTGGAGATAATGGGCTTTTCTGGCCGCCACACTTACACAAAACGCGCCATGTGCACTTGACACGTGACTGCGTGCCTTGTCCGCCATCTTGTTCACCCTTAAATGCAGACAATGAATCTGACAATCGGAAGGTATGAAGGAAGCGGCAGTAGACAGAACTGACACTTGTGTTCAATGGTGGAAAACGGATGACTTCCTGGTACTGTGTCATGTCCGAGTGGGTGTTAAGTTTAATGTTTCACTAGAAAAGTCACAGTTACAGTTAAACTAGGTAAATGTTCTGAAAGAGAATTCTGCTGCTGACTTTGTAGAACTACGTTATTGATTGTTTGAAAGTGAGGTGGTAACATTTTAAGGTCTAATAATCAGTAAATAGCATTTCATCTGTGGAGTATTAAACCCTCTCAAATGGTTCAAGCAATCAAGAACATCTGTTTTTAATTAATGGAGCTTGCATTTAACATTCAAACTAGAGTGATTTATCGAATATGGAAATTTACATTGGTTGTTAAGTTATGAATGAAAGAAAAGAAGATAGGAGTATAAGCTAATTATGTTTAAGTGAATAAATGATGCTTCGCATTGTCAATTTTAAAACGTGAGAAATCATTAGTTCACTGTTGCACGATCAGTTTATTGACCTATCAAATTTTCTTTTCGATGTTTGCATCATTATTGTATTTATCATTAAAAGTAGTCTTAAGCGACATTTTAATTAATTTTTTTACCATTTAATCCCAAGTAGTTTACACTCTTCCACTAAACCACGTCCTAGACCAAGATCTGTTTTTTACCATTGTTTGCAGTAGTATTTTACCATTGTTTACATAGTATTTTAATCATGTTACAACTGTTTTACCATTCCAGTGAATAACTGAGGCATGCTTTTTTTCGTAGGAAAAATAGCTTCTTCTCTCATCTCTTTGAACTTTGATTGGGACCCGTTTTTTCACCAATATTTATCGTTGTAGTGTTTGAACTTATCAACTATACTATCACCACTGTAGAGAGTAACAGTGTTGCGTTTTTTTCCTGATAAAAAATAAGATTTTTCTGCTCATTTCTTTGAATTTAGATAATGCCTATTTTTTCATCAATGTTTACCATTGTAGTGTTTTAAATTAGTAACCATGCTATTACCATTCTAGTCAATATCTGTGGCATATTTTTTTCTGAAGAGAAATAGCTTTTTTTGGTCACTTCGTTGAACTCAGATTCGAATTTGTTTTTTCAACAATGTTTACCATTGTTTTGTTGAAACTTAACAACCATGTGACTATTCTAGCAAATGAATGTGACATAATTTTTTCTTAGAAGAAATAGCTTTTTCTACTCACTTCTTAAAACTTGGATCAGGGCTTGTTTTTTCATCGATGTTTACCATTGTAGTAAGTGAACTTAGTAACCATGCTATCACCATTGTAGAGAATAACTTTTTTTTCTTATAAGAAATAGCTTTTTCATCTCACTTTTTTATACTTAGATCAGGATTTGTTTTGTCTGTACATTTATAGTTGTAGTGTTTGAACTTAGAAACCACTCTACTACCATTCTAATAAAAGATTGAGACGTGAATTTTTTTCTGAGAAGAAATATTTTCTGCTCACTTCTTTGAATTTAAATCAAGAGCTGTTTTTTCAATGTTTAGCAATGTTTTAATGTTGTTCTTTCAATGATAGAGTTGAGCTTCATAACCATGTTATCACCATTGTAAAGAATAACTATAGCGAGCTTTTTTTCTGATAAGAAAAATCTCTTTTTGCGTATTCATTAGAACTCAAGTTATTAAAGATATATCAAAACAAACCTATAAATATAGATTTTTTTAATCACAATAAGTTATGAACCATTGCAAGCAACAAGATGACCATAATGAAATTAATTAAAATTATTTTGTTTAAAATGTTAATAAAATAATGTCATATGGTATTAAAAATTTTAATTAAAAATGTTACATGGTATTAAAAATATTAATGATTTAATGTAAATTAATTATAAATTAATTATAATAAATAAATAATTTAATGTAAATGCAAGGAAAATGTAAGTTAAAAAATGTAAATAAAAGTAAAAAAATAAACAATGAAGAGCATGTTTTCTAAAGAGTGGTATACGTTATTTTTCATAATTGTTTATCATTATCACTATAAAACAATTCTTATTATTTAAAAACATAACATAAATTAATGAACTTAAAATATAATTAAGTGTACTATCGTATAATTGATTAAGTGCCAAACGTACTTTGATTTAGTAAAAGAATGATTTAATTAAAATTGCATTTTTTTATTTATAACAAAATATTATTTTATTAACAATATAATTATAATTTTACGATATTGTTTTAACAAATCAACAATAATTATTTGGCGTTGAAATTTCTGAATATTTATTATTAGTAGTCTTTTTTTCAAATAGCACACAAAAACATTTTTTCGATACCAAAATAAGAGAAATAGTGCTAAGTAAAACAAATTGACAAATCAGTCAAAAAAAGGCAATAATATCTTCTCTTTTTTAAAAAAACTAAATTTTAAGTTTTTTAAAATAAATTACGCGTGAATGATAATTAATTATTTTTTGTGAGGGATATTAAACTACGAATTCTCAACAAATTAAATTAAGCGCCCAAATTAGTATATGTTCGTTATTAAGATAAAATTAGAAAAAATAAATAAAATTCTATTTTCTGAATGAACAAAAATAATTTTGCTTGAGAACTTTCAACATGTAAATACCGATAACAAAATCGGCTTACTTAAAGTAAATAAGAATAGTTTAGATTTTATCAAAGAATTGAATTAAATAAATTTTTTTGTTAGAGTACATTAACACAATTCATCCGTACATCAAATATTTATTTATTTTTTTTAAATTCAAGATGAAGCTTGAAAATTACCCCTAAGCTATTATTATAAGAGAAATTTTAGTTCGTTAATTAAGAATAATTTTTCGTATTTTACGAAACGAATCAAGTATGCCAAATAAAATGTGTTCCCCCTTTTCTTTTTGTTGGATTCACCTTGATTCATTAAAATTTAACTCAGAAATTGCTTCTAATGAAGATAATTTATTTGTCAAATCCACGTTGTTAAATGTATTTTTTCTTCTATTACCTTCTTTTTTAAATGAAAATCAAGTAAGTTGAGGTCATATTTGTTTAATTGCTGGAAAATGTATTGTTTTATGAATAATTTAAATTTTGTTTCTGAATTAGTATTCAAAAACAGTAAAACGGTAATTCTAAATAAATGTTAATTTTAAGTATGTAGAAAATATGTAACCTTGTTAGATAAAATTCCTATTTAAAATTAATAGGTTCCATTAAACTTTAGCGCTGTCAGGCATTATCAAATTTTCCGGTTTATTAACAATTTGTATGCAAAATTTCCACCCGTTGATGTTTCGTGTTTTTTACATTTCCCTTATGTCGTAGATTAAAAAGTATCTTTAAATTAAGAAATAATGTATATTTACTATAGAGTGTATTAATTATTATTACACATGTTTAACTTTTTTAAACATAATTTTAATTATTTAAGTTTTCAATTTAATTTTTTAATTTCCAATTTTAAAATTTCTTTTCCATTATTATTTTTTATTATAATATAATATTTATTAAAACAAATAATTTTATTTTTAAATTTTTTTTATGATGCTCAAAATGTTTTTGAATTGTTAGTTGCAGGACACCAAATCATTTTTACATTGAAATACAAACTCCTCTATCATTTCTTTTTTGAAACCCAAATTTGGGAAACTAGTAATTTGCTTTTTGTAATATTCTTTAAATTAGTAACTCTATGCAAAAGTGATCAAAACATCATAGGACATAAAAAAGCGAACTAATTTATTTTTTTTAACTTATAAATGGTATAGAATCGATGCAATTCCTCAAAATGCATTTATGGTACAAGCTAGATTATATATGAAGTGTAACTTACTTCATAAATATCACCGACTTTTTTATCGATTGTCTTAGACGTTGAGATATTTCCCGATGCAGAGTCCATGCTAAAGTAAGTATGTTCTCGGACATCTAACAAGTTGTAAGTTACAGTTTTTCGACCAGGATCATATGCTTGGACAGTGGTCACTTTTATTCCAGGGGGTGCTCCTTCATATACTCTGGGCTCATGAAGAGGATTGCGGAATACAAGTTTTCCTGAAAGAAAAACATGGGTTAGTTTGTAATCTCTATACATAAAAATGGATGTCTATATGTCTTTCTCTTACAAACTTTTAACCAATCTGACTGAGATTAATAAAATTTGGCATACTGATAGTTCGAAGTACGGAAAAGGTCTCTGTCGAAATTAGATCATTCTGTTACGAATGGTTTGAGCGGGATGAACAAAAAATGAAATAAAATTTTGTGATAGGTTTAACGTTAGCCATTGTTTTAAATTGATAATTCTATTTTTCAAATACCATTTTAGAGATAATTTCAGTGATATTAACTACCTTATAGCTTTATTTGATAAAAAAAGAGTGCATTGCACGTACTTTACTTAATTATTTTTTTTATCTTCTAAGTCAAATAAATTCAATCAACAACGTTAACGACTTAGAATTGGGAGGAAGTACGTCACCAAATTATTTTTTCAAAAGTTTTTTAAAACCACGTGTATATTTCGTTTATATAAATTATTTTAAAGCGTGTTCAATAATAATAATTAATTTAAAAGAAACGTTAGATGAATTTAACAAAATAGTTATGTATTCAAATGCTAAACAAATGGGAAAGTGATATTAATTCATTTAAGAGAAATTTCCTTGATATTATTGATACCAATGGTGTTTCAATAATTTAAGTAATAGATGGATATTTAAATAAAAGAAACAAGTTAAATCCGAAAAAGCAAAATTTATGGAATAAAGGTACTTACTTAATCGCTTAGAAGTATGATAAAAAAGCTCCTTACTATTATTTATGCCGCAGATGCTTTATTAATATTGGTAAAATTTTTAATTGATAAAAATATCTACTAAAAAGTATAGATAAAAATATCTACTATAAAGCAAAATTACTGGAGAAAAGATAATTTTTCGGTTTCAGAAGCAAAGATTTGCCAGATTATTATTTATGCCATCGATTAATTAATGTTAGAAACTTGTATTTATTAAATTAAAAACAATAAGCTATGTAATAAAAAGCGAAGGTATTATAAACTAAAATCAGTATATTGAATTTTAATGAAGTTGAAATTTATTTCAATCTTAATAAAAAGTGTTTATATTTCATCAAGTTGAACCATGGAGTTATATATTCATAATTAAGAAGAATATAAATGTATCGATATTATCGTAGATCTTCATTGAAAATCGATATAATCCTGGTTCAACTTATTACTATATTAGGTTACAGTAACTTTATACGCATGCATCAAAATGCTCATGATTCATCATATGTATTCATCTATGATTCATCATAGATTTCAAATCTACGATCGACGTCATTGTGAATAAATCGTGACTTTGGTCTGTACGAAAGCCAATCAGGTTCTACACGCATGCGCGACGTCACTTATAGGTATCTTATCAAATCCAATTTAAATCTCGTGGTTGAGCTTAATCACATATTTTTCTTGAGTTGCAAGTATCTGAGGAATGACTTAAAATATTATTTTTGTTCTTAAAACTTGTTCTTAAGTTAAATCCCCTATATTTAAACTTTCAGTAAACGATTCATGCTGTATATATCATCAAATTAATTATTTTTTCTGTTAAAATGTATTTTCCAGTAGTTTCGAGAAATTTTATAATTAGAAAAATTGGTTGCCTCAGTGGCAAAAACTGGTTTGTCAAATTATTCTATTAAAGCGCAATTTAATATTCTTTAAGAATTCGTAGTAAGCTGATTTTAAGCGAAGAAATTTTAGTTTTATTAACAGACGCTTAGATGCATAAAAACGGAGAAAACTGAGAAAACTAATGAAAAGTTTTCTTTTTATACACTCGAGATAATTAAGGAAAACTACTTCTCTTAAATGTTTTTAATGAAGGCATTAAGCTTTTTCATTTAAAATTTTTAGTGGAAAAAATTAAAACAAAATACCCCGTCTTGCTGTAGTAAACATTTTTTTAATAGAAGCTAGAGAAGGGTAGGAAAGTTTTTGCATAAATAATTATCCTTTAAGGATTTATTTGAAGCGCATTAAAACAATTTTAATAGAGATCGAAAGCTATTAATAAAGAGTCACGTGACAAAATATTAAAATTATGGTAGCTTGTGTTTATTTTTTTTCATCCCAATTTTAAGAATGTCGTGTTCTGCTCCAATTTTTCATCGTTTTGGAACTCAAAGGGAGATGAAATTCAACATCAGAGTTTCGTGCAATTTGCATAATTTTAAATGGGTTGCAAGTAATAGCTTTTCAGAATAGCACTGGAATTTCTCACTAAAGTAGTCTTATAGAGCATTACCGTTAAAGTAATGGCTCACAGTTAAGCAGCTGCTCTTTTGTTGTATACTAAAACAATAGAATAAAAATAAATCTAAGCTAATACTTTTATATGAGTAAATTTATGACACAGTGTGAAGTGTGAAAAATTAAAAGCAAAAAAATTAATCAGTTTATTAATAATCCCTTTAATATTATACATTTGTACGCTTTAAAAATTTTTTTTTGTAAAATGCATTTTTTTTAAAACATTGGCTGTTTAAAGTTTTTTTCTTCTTTTAATTTCGGAAAACTTACAAAAATATTAATTTTCGAACTGTTTCGAAGTTCAATTTTGAACACTATAACAATTTTAGTACTATACTTTTATATGACCTATTTTATGAGACAATGTATAAATGTTTACGTAATATACAGAGAAATATACAGTGTTTTATAATGACCACCCCTAATATATGTTTTAAAATTTCCTATCGAAAATAATGTAAAAACATATCTGTATTAAGGTTTGCAAATTAGTATTTAAATGAATAAAAAAAGAACTGCCCTATGGATAAAGTGGATGAAAAAATCCATTCAAAGAAAGCAGAATGAAAGAAATCAAAACCTGTTTGATTGCTGGAGAATTAAGAAAAGAGTTGAAATGCGAATATTTGAAGCGCTTCTATACTTTCTCATACAGTTACGATATTTACAATTCCTCCTGCCGCTGTCGTGAATCGTTAGATTACTGAAGAGTTTTAGTTCTTTTCCCTAACTCAAAGTATTAATATGCGACCCCTTAAGTGTATATTTTGTTGAAAACAATTCTGAAAATATATATTAAGGGCTGCAATTACAAAATATTCTTTTATACTCACTGAGAAGTGCATTGTTTACGTTAATCTCTATATTTTTTACCTATCGTAAAGGTAGATAAGTTTTTCAAACAAAAACTCTTTAGTTTTAATTAAAATTTCAACTTCTACTCATAGTTTTGCTAACTATATTTTATCCATTTTTAAATATTAATTTGCTACTCTTTACATGTATACTCATTAGATATACGTTAAGCCGTCATAAGATATATATTATAAGATATTTGTTAGAATAATAAGATATATGTTAAGCCGTTATAAGATATATGTTATAAGATACTTGTTAGACTTATAAGATATATGTTAAGCCGTTGCAAGATATATATTATAAGATATTTGTTAGACTTATAAGATATATGTTAAGCCGTTATAAGATATATAAGATATTTGTTAGACTTATAAGATATATGTTAAGCCCTTATAAGATACATATTATACGATATTTGTTAGACTTATAAGATATATGCTAAGCCGTTACAAGATATATATTATAAGATATTTGTTAGACTTATAAGATATATGTTAAGCCCATATAAGATATATATCATACGATATTTGTTAGACTTATAAGATATATGTTAAGCCGTTACAAGATATATATTATAAGATATTTGTTAGACTTATAAAATATATGTTAAGCCTTTATAAGATACATATTATAAGATATTTGTTAGACTTAAAAGATATATGTTAAGCCGTTGTAAGATATATATTATAAGATATTTGTTAGACTTATAAGATATATGTTAAGCCATTACAAGATATATATTATAAGATATTTGTTAGACTTATAAAATATATGTTAAGCCTTTATAAGATACATATTATAAGATATTTGTTAGACTTAAAAGATATATGTTAAGCCCTTATAAGATATATATTATACGATATTTGTTAGACTTATAAGATATATGTTAAGCCGTTACAAGATATATATTATAAGATATTTGTTAGACTTATAAAATATATGTTAAGTCTTTATAAGATACATATTATAAGATATTTGTTAGACTTAAAAGATATATGTTAAGCCGTTGTAAGATATATATTATAAGATATTTGTTGGACTTAAAAGATATATGTTAAGTCGTTATAAGATATATATTATAAGATATTTGTTAGACTTATAAGATATATGTTAAGCTGTTTGTACAGATGAGACATTAATTTCCTTTTTATATTTTTTCTGACGTTCTAATTACAAGTAAAAAAATAAATGTTGGCATTTTTTTAATTATAAAAGAACCGTAAATTGTTGGAATTACATTTGCATTAAAATATAAAAATCAAATAGTAGTTTGAAAAAATGTTTTTTCATTCATATTCACAAATTCATCTATAATTGATTTTATAAATAAAAGAAATTTCAATGATGAATTACTATTTTTCTTACACTTAAAAAAGTTTAAAATTTGAATAGTTATTGTTTGTAAGTGACCAGTGCATGTAAGATTTAATCTTTAACGCAGAACACTACACCTGCGTCCTGTATACGTATAAACTATTCAAAGGTAAAATGAAAGATTTTTCACTTAGTTTAGCTTAATTTATTTCAAAATAATTATAAATATATGAAAATTCTAAGTCATAGGGTTGAGTGATGTATTGACGAAACATCCTTATATTCATATTTAGAAATAAATTATTATGGTCTTCTGTATATTCTGAAAGGATCATAATATACTTACAAATTAGTTTTAATTATTTTATTTTAATAAACACGTTAATTCCCTTCAAAATTTAAATTGATATCACCAAAACACTCTTGGCTTTCATGTGAAAAAATAACATGGGAAATTAGAATTTTACAAATGTTATTTAAATTTACGCATACGTATTTACTTGCAAAATTTAATGACAAAAATTTTTTCTTTTAGTTTCAAGGTTTTATCATTACAACGGAC